AAAAGAGCATGAAAGTCACATGCAAAGGGCAAAAGTAAATTTTTTTATATATATACTGTGAATGCGATTAATTTATTTACTTATTTATTACTGTATTATTATTATTATTTTATTTTATTTATTATTATTATTATTATTATTATTATTATTACTTTTTTTTTTTTAAGAAAATATTGATTTAGGTTTAGATAATTTATATCAGCAGCAGAGTTGTTCATCTTCAGCAGAATTACAGAGCCAACAAAGTTATAATGAAAAACAGCAAAATCAAAGCAACAAGACTTCTCAAATACACACCTCATCAAATCATCATAATAGCATGAGATCCTCAGCATACACACCTTTCAACGCTAGTACTTATCAAAATAAAGCACTACAAATCAATAAAGAGTTAAATATTCCAATTGAAGATGTGATCAATTCTTTTTATAAACGACCTAATAAATATACCTCCAATAAAAATTATCATAGTCATCTGCCTAATGAAGATATATTTTCTTCAGAGGATGAAATTTTTTCTTTGATTGGCCAACATTATGGTTCAAACTCCTTTAATCATTTAACTACCTACTTAAATATACAAAGTGAACCTTACTCGGCTGCCCAGTCAAGTTTGACAACTTCATTTGTAAAAAGCAGCCTTTTTTTTCAAGATGAAGTGCATCTTATTCAATGGCTAGAAATGCATAAAGATATAGTATTACAGGTGTTGAATTCGATCTGTTCAGCAATGCCTATTATGTCAAATCAGGTTTGTTACAACTTATCTACCTTAATAAATTACTTCTCATATGTCCAGTATTATAATTCAAATTTAAATACTAGGTTTCTTCAAATAATACATCTAATCTGGCAAAAATTCTTTCTGAACAATCACAGATTTTATTTCTGCAAACAGGAATACCAACTAAAAGAACACACACCTCTTTAATTAAAAGCATTATTCCTAATATGGTCAGAACACATCCTGATTGGAATGGAATATCAACCAAATTAAGGCAGATATTTAAGAATTTTCATCTATAATGACAATGTTGCCAAATTGGCTAATCATTTAATGTGAAAAAAAAGGTAGATTTTTTTCTTATTAATATATAAAATTGTATACTACTTTGTAATAAATTTGACTAAATTAGGTTCAATTCTGGCAATCTTTCTAACCGTGATATTGACGGATTCATTCCTGGTGGTGTGTGGGAAAGACCTCTTAAAAAATATATTGATATTCTTGATTATAATATTTTTAAAAATTATCTATCAGGAGTAAAAGCATTAGAGACTTTGATTGCTAGAAGCCTCAAGATCATGTGAAATATTTGGTAGTAGAGTCTAAAGGAGAAACCCTAATTACACTTCCATGGTCTTAAATTGTATTAAAGGACTAGATGATATTACAATTAACGTCACATTTTCAGCAGCAAGTCATTTTCAATATACTAATCAATTAGAACTTAAGGAAGAGCAAGAAAGGTCAGTAAAAAAATAAAATATATGATACTATAAATTGATAATTATGATAATATTATATAAAACTTTATTAGGTAAAGGTATTAGGAGTAAATTAACAAATAGAACTAAGGTGGGTCAAAAAACATTCGTAATCAATAATTTCAATAATTTATTTAATGCAGCAAAGTAACTATTAAGTAAAAGAAAATATATTTAAGAATTTTTTAATAAATTCTTTTATTCTTTTACTCTTTGCTTAGATTCTTATGCATTTGTGTTTAAACACAAGATTTTAAATAGAGTTACATGTATTATTATGTATTATTTTAATTCCTATTGTAGTGGTAATCTTGATTCAAGTTGTAAGGTATGATAGCATAGTAATGTATAATTGTTCTAAATATAGATAATCAAATCCTTTTGTGCTTTATAATAATTGTGCATAACTCATTACTTAGATTGTGTGATGCCAAAATAATCAGCTTGAGGTCATGACGTGATTTAAAGCAACAGTGTGAATTAAAGTATGATAAAAAAAAAAATAAAGAAAACACTGCACAATAAGGCTACACAAATTTAATATATTAGTTTTCATAACATGAAACTTTTAAACAGACCCAGCCAGCCGGCTTTTATTTAAAAAATTTCATATATAAAAATTTATAAAATTTTTTTAAAAATTTTTTAAAATACCCACCCGGTTATTAAAACATACAAAAATTTTTTTTTACAAATTTTCAAATTTTGACCTGGCCGGATTATGAAAACCAATTAATTAAGTTTGCATGGCCTAATTTTGTAAATACATTACAAATTTTATTTAATTATATGCTGCCATTCTTGTTCATAACAATTAGAATTACGAGAATGTGCAATTAAAGTCTGCTTTTTTTGCCACACTACTTTTCTATAATAAGTATAATCGATTTTTAATTAAGTATAATAAGTACTAAATATAATTAATTATAAAACCTTACCTTGTTTGTACCAGATGATGGGAAATGGGTACATTACAATCCTTTGCTCATATATTTATTCATGTGAAATTCTAAATTATTTGCTTCTACAGGAGTTTAAATTGGTTCTACAATAATAGATCCTCTATTTGGCATAAATAAAGAATATTGTAATACTATTTATGATAGATAGTATATAAAGATAATAAAAATTACACTTGTATTGGCCTTAATGCCTTTAATAAATTAAATTCATCTTGGATATTCAATACTTACAGTATATACATTAATTTTAAACTCCACTCAAAGTTATAATTAAATCAGTATAAAAAAAAAATAGAAAAAAAGTTAAATCTTTTTGAACTCTCTTTTTTCTCATAAGTTTAAAATTTGATACTCAAATATTTAAAGTGATATTATATCAAAATTACTCTTTTTATTTGTATTATTCACAAAACATAATTTCTTTGTCTCTTATTTACTATCATAACATACCTTCATTTGTTTTCTATTTACTGCCACAACATACCTTCGTTTGTTTCTTATTTACTGCCATAACATACCTTCATTTGTTTTCTATTTATTACCACAGCATACTTTTATTTGTTTCCTATTTATTACCAAACATACCTTGCTTTCTATTTATTGCTTTAATTTATTTAATAATGTTACCACTAGGAAATAGATTTAAAAAAAGTATTTCACAACAATCTTACAATTTACGTATATGTTTCAAAAAAACTTTTTTAAATGACTATATATTCTCAAATAATCTGAATCACAATAATTCAAACCTACAAACCAGCCATGCATTGTTTAATACTGAATTTAGCAACAGTTCAGGGATTGGTAACCAACAATTTGAACTTAATCAAATTAACTATGGAAATATTGATCAAGAATATGATGACCAACAATCATATCATGAAAATAGTGACCACAAATATAGCGACCAAGAACATAGTGACCAAGAACATAGTAACCAAGAATATAGTGACCAAGAATATAGTGATTAACAACCTTATCATAGAAATCTAGATCAAGATTATAGTGAGATATGAAATATAATCAGAATGATAACTTGAGTTATGGCATTCTAAAAAACATATATAATGAATCTGAATTTAGCAAAAATGTAAATAGTGATAGTTGTGATGAAATTGAATCACCATCAATTGATATGGATGCACTAAAGACATTTGATGGGATGAAATTTAATATAAATTAGAATCACGAGTGTCTATTTGGATTTTTTGAACACTTCACAAATATAACCATATTCACATAGATCACTAGGCACTCTATATGTAAGTATTTTACTTACTGTCATGAATCATAATGAATTTGGAATAAAATGAAATTGGAGACTTCTATTTAAGCATTCTAAATCCCACTTATACATTTTTACTATAAATTTTACTCTAAAGCTAACCCTTTACACTAAAAAATATTAACAAAATCCATTTTAATTTCATTTCAATCTGATTTCATTTTTATTTGCCACATTTATTATCTATTTACATATATAAAATCAAATAGTAATTTTTTTTTTTTTAGCGACTGCGGCATATCAAGACTTAATACAAATTATGCATCATCCTCGATTCGAAATAAAGCATTTAACTACTAACTTACAGTGTCTTAAAAAACTACGCGAGTGATTATCATTAATGAAGATTCAAAGCTATATAGTTCTGATAAATACCAAAAATATACTATCAACATCTAGAGATTCTACACATGTTTATTATTTTTCTCTAATTGAGCATATTTAATGCATACTAAAAAACTCATCTCTTAGTTCCCATTTATATTTTGGGCCAGGTATTTTTTCAAAATCATATGAAGAATTATGAAAAGAGGATCTCTGAGCTGAATCTCCTTTTTTCAGTTTACCAAACTTAATTATGGTGCAAGGTATTAAAAGATTAGTCTTATTATTGTTGTATTATATTTTAGGCAATTTGTTAAATAATTTTTATTAAGGTTCATTTAACTGTAGAGATTTTGTTAAATATTGCTTAGCTTCAGAAACTATTGAAGTTGGTCGAATCAGATTTTTTGTTATTATAAATAAAAAAATAGCAGCACAGATCCAACGATTATTTACTTATGAGCAAGTTCCACAGTATCTATGTTCAAAACTACATATATCACATTCATTACAAGAATTGTATTTGGTCAAAGAATCAGAAGCCTTAATTATTGACCCTTCAACATTACTTGTTGTCTAAACGTCTGGCTCAAGGATCAGCCTGTTTTATCTAAAGTTAATTTTTTTGTCAGCAAAATACTATACAATTATAATGGCAGATGGAAGTTTCGTCCAATAAATTTACGTTACCAACACCCCTCTGAGTACGTATCTATTAGACAACCAATAGATTCAAATATGCCAGTTCTTAAGTTTTATTTGGATTTATATTATGATGACTTCAGCACTTTTAGAAATACCTATCATACTTTTGATAGCGTTTATTTGCAGATCAGTAATATGCCATGACGATTAAGGAAAAAACTTCGAAATCACTTTATAATAGGACTAGTGTCCTTTGGTAGAAATTTTAGAGATTTTATAAAAGTTTTTATTGAAGAGGTTTGGCAGCTTGAGCGAGGTTTCGTAATGAATATTAATGGTGTTGATTGCTGAATTTCAGGTGGGCTAGCTATGGTTACAGCAGATTTATCACAGGGGAATGATATCTCAGATGTATTATACCACAATGTCAATTTTGGTTGCCGCAGTTGTAAAGCCTCTAAGAATGAATTAACAAACATTACGTTCAATATATATTCTAATGGCTGATATCATCAAATAACTGATCAGGAATTCAAAAAGATTAATGAACAACACACAAATTCAGCAAAATTACAACTTTTTTCACAATATAGATTACGATTATTACCAGGTCCACTTGATTTCATCCTTCACGACCTTTATTAATATATGCTACAGGATGCATATCATGCTATTGCAAGAAAAATCACACATCTTCTTGATTGCACTTGTCTTATTCTATCAGAACAAGGAGAAAGTAATATAATCAATTATTGAAAACATTTTGAAGTCTTGACTAGATAGTCACGTTTGCCAAATTTAATTTCTCATAGACATTCATTTATGATGTCAGACATTTTGCACCTTTTAATGATACTTCCTTTCATATTAAACCATTTTTTAACAATTTATGATATTAAGTCCACTTTTTTAGATGAAACAAAGGCTTGGTTAAATCTTTCTCGCAAAACTGAAGTTATCAGTTGTTTGATTCGAACTTGGGAACTTTCTGTGAGGGCCAGTAAAAATGTTTTTTAGTTAACCATTAATAGATCACATAGATATTATCAGTTTCAAAAAATTTTAGATAAAGAATTTAAAGCATTAATCAAGGTGATTTACTATTATTTATTTTAATTTTAATTGCATATTGTTTAAATTATAAATACTTAAATAACAAATTGATTATATATTTAAATATCGCATTTTTTAAATAACAAGTAGATTTTTTTTTAATTTTAATTATACACTTTAATTAACTTATATTAAGGGTTTGGCGACTTAGAGTAGTAGTTAAGTTGTCATCTCCAAGCAGCAGATCTAGAGTTCGAATCCCACCAGAGACATTTTTAGAAAAATAGGCCTGTGTTCTGGTAACAATTATTCGACAATTGGTTGGGTATATTATCTGTAATCTTGGTATTGCCATCTCGAAATAGAAGCTCTTAAGCAATCCAAATCCAAGAAATTGAAATAATTGAAACCCGTTTGGCAAGATTCGAGTAAGGAAGTAGTGAAGATCTTTGACAATACTGTGGAAAAGTCAGAAACCAGAGACCAAAGAACTGGACAAAAATCCTGGAGCAAGAAGAGTCTACCAACCTAGCCACCGGAGTCTCACTGGACGAAAAGGTCCTATGCTACAGAATTAGAAACCAAGAGAAGTAAAACTGGAAGGCACTTAAAGCCTAGGTACAATGACCTGTCCGTGCTAACTGGTTTGGTAGTTGGAAAGGGATCAGTATAAGAACTGGCTTGATGTGGGTATCGGGATCAGAATGAATCTTGCAAAGACACCAGATACTGGAATTTTGTAGTTTAATAGTTCAACCTGACTGCTAGTGATGGTTTCAGCTGCTGCGGAAAGTATCTGTAGCCTAATCTGGATGTGCGTAAGACATAGAAAGATTAGGGAAGTATGTACTATACCTTCTCTAGTGTAACCCAGTATGTAGGTTCTACTGGGCTACCTATAGAATTAGGGTGCAAGTAGTATAGCAGATATCGATCTGGGTGGTCTTCAATAAGAAGCAGTATGAGGTTATGGATTGGTGTGATTGAGGTGGTGGTGCAGGACAGGGGACGTTAGAGTGTTAAATAGGTAATTTCCCAGTAGGTTATAGGTATGGTATATAGTGTAGAACCTTTGGGCAGACTATTTAAATTAGGCAACCAAAAGTTGCACGTGTGGCTATATGTACTTTCACTAACCAAGAATGTACTACTAAAAATACCTAATAAAAAATCCACCCTTCCGTAACATTGCGAAGGTATAAAAAAAAAAAAAATAAAAAAAAAAAAAATAACTTATATTACATTTATTTATACATTATATTTATATTATATTATATATTTAAATAATTTAAGTTATTTCTAGGCAGCTTCCAAAACATTCCAAATCTTCATATAAATTGACACCTGGTGGATCATACACGTCAATATGCAATATGTGTCAATTCGGCAGTTAGTATTAAAGAAAAAGTGCATAGAATCTTTAAATCAATTGTACCATATACGAACAAACACAATCTTGAACTTACATTACTTCGGCAAGTTACCACTTTGCAAACATTGAAATACTTAGCAGATGGAGGAGTTGATAAATATATAAACAATGTAGCATCATTATTATTCAAAGAGTTAATTATTAAACTATGATTACGTTGTTTACTCTCAAGCTGATGTATCGATGATAGTAACCTTTCTATTCATATGCTTCAGAAATCTGCTCAAGGTAATATAAAACTATCTAATCATATTAAATAAAAGTGGCACTAAAAGAAAACCTGAAAATTTAAATATATGTTATATTTAAATTTTCGGGTTTTCTTTTAGCGACACTCTTATGTATTTTAATTAATACTAAGTGATTTAAAGAGCTATGATTTAAGAGCATATTTAATTAAATTTGAATAATTAGATGATCCTGCCAATATTAATAGCTTCTTACTCTTTAATTGTTTGGAAATCAAACTTGGTTCGAAATGGGACAAACAGAAAATTAACAGTGCCGATTTCGTTTCTAACAATTTTGAAACTAATAGACTTTTAAAAAGTATTATGCGAGTATATTCTTCCTACTTTTCTATCGAACAGACACTATTAAATATAAAAATTAGATATTATCAAAACGTTTTTTATTCAATAATAGAGTTTAATATTGATAATCAAGTTGTAAGATTTTATGTCAATGAAGCGGTTAAAACCACTCTTTCTAATGATGAGCAACCTGCATTCAGAATAGTCAAAGGAATAATTGAACATAGATGGAATAACAATCAACTCTACATATTTATCTATTTGGAATGGCTAGAATGCTTTAATAGATCTGATGATTTATTAGATTGTTCTATATATTGCCTTCAAAATCCTTGTAATAATTCTTGAGATCGAATCTATCAAATTTCTATCATGTCAAAATTACCAGATATTCCATTCATTCACAATTGTAAAACCGAATATTCATTACTATGACATGATATTACAAATCAAGAATACATTCAAAATGACTTCTTTTTTACAGCCATTTAAAGAATTCTGATTTTTAATATAAGGTTTACTTTAAAATGAGATATAACAGCATTATTAGTAAGTTTTTATCAAAACGTTTTATAATAAATTAATTATTTAATATTTTGTTTAGTGTTCATTATTATGTTTATTTATTTATTTATTTATTTTTAGAAAATTTAGTTAGGGTGTAGTGACTTGGTATAGTTGGTAAGTTGTCGCACCTCC